AAAAAAAAAAAAAAAAAAAAAAAAAAAAGCAAAAAAAAAAGCATTGTATTTTTTCTCCTCAAAGAAATAACCACTTGATATTAGTGGAGCAGGACCTGGCATGTGGTGAATTACACATTCTGAGTGTGAGTTGTGGAAAAGCACTACTTTAATTTGTTGCCACTATTTCAAAGCATTTTGTTTAAATGTAGCGTAATTTGTATTTTATAGTGATAGGAGGTGTGTGTTAAGTAGGTAATAAAGTTAAACCTGTGTGTTTAACAAAATGTGTGGGTTTTTTACGTACCTTCTTATCTGCAGTTCAGTTATGCTAACAGTTCTCAGGTCTAGTGTTATAGACATGCATCCTTCACACCCTCTTGTTTCCCTGATTCTATGAATGCCATCTTAGGGCTTTTATGTATCTGCTATTTCTGTGATGACACGTTTGACATAAATTACATATTTAAAGTAGTTGATTGTGATGATTGTGAGAGAGGATAGCATAGAGAATTCACAAATTCACTCCTTGCTTTTTGTAATCAGCCAGGATCTTGTTTAGTTTGATCAAGGAGTAAATAGTTATTACAAACTAGATAGAAATCATAATGATCCTGGAAAAGATGTTCAGTTTCCCAGGCATCACTAACAAAGTAGATTTATCTAACAATAAATCTGGTATGAATAACTAGTGGGATGGTGGAGCAAAATACAGACTAAGTTCATGAGTCATTTGCTTAATTACTAACCATCACAAGGTTGTAGACCGAGATTTTGGAACACAAGAATGTGTCATTTTTTTACATGGATTTGTAAACCTATTCCTTTTTAAAGAGTTGTATTTCTGCAACTCTCTACATGCAACTGCCGTATTTTAAATAATATCCTAGCAGATTGCCATCACAGGTACATTCACGTTATTCTTTCTCGCTATCAAAATTCCTAAGGATGGAATTGAGTTTTATTGTATTTGTTTTCATTGTAAAGGATTCAAAACGAGGATTTGGGATTGCAGTTTCTGGCGGCAGAGATAATCCTCACTTTGAAAATGGTGAAACATCAATAGTCATTTCAGATGTTCTCCCAGGTGGTCCAGCAGATGGATTACTTCAGTAAGCAGTTTTTTATTTCTCTTGTCTGGCGTATTTTGAGGGGCATGACTGTAGAATATGTAAAACCTTCAGACAGGCTTTGTTGAAATCCTGGCAATCTAATCCACTCAAGATTTGATGTTCTCTTGAGAACCTTGGTGTCTGTTTTATATTAGGAAAAAAAACCAAACAAAAGTAACCAAAACAAACTTCACCTGGAAGTGGTTTTATTTGCTATTTTGACAGAAATTAAATTTCAGTAGTGTTGAAAAGCTATTATAGTTAAGTATGTTTCTCTTAAGACTGCATTTCTTTTAAAGAAGCAGAAATACATAGTATCTTAAAATTTCCCTGTTCTTCCTTCCAGGAAACACATTTAGTGATCAATCATCAGTTTTCAAGAGAATAGCTTAAGTCAGCCCAAAGAAGGGTCTTCACTCCTAAGATTTCTATAGTCCCTCTAGTAACATCATCCTCGTTGAAGCAGCATCTATCATGGACAAGTAATTTTAAATCTGTAGACTATAAACAGTTTCTAGCCCACTGCTGATGAGTTTTTCATCCTTTGACCTGGAATACCTGATGAGGACTAGACAGTTTGGAAGAATGGAATACCTGATGAGGACTAGACAGTTTGGAAGAATGACAAAGTTGTGCAGTGATAGTAATTCAAAAGAATAGACTCTGGTTATTTTGCCAAACTTAAATTTTTGGTGAGGTGATGAAAAGGCTGACATGGGAGAAGTTATTCAAGAACTGGATAAAGGGATTATTGCAAAGCAAGGAACAAGCAATTCTCAACGTAAATGCACAAAATCTTGGTTTTATAGTACTGATGTCTTGCAAGCACCATTGTCATCCATCCTGTTCCGTAATCACCTGTGATTTGGAGATAAAATCATGTCCACAAATTATGTAAGATCCTAGGTAAATTGATGATGACAAGACAATACCAAGTAATTTGGGCACATCCAGACAAAACATGGTCTGTAGAAAACTGAATGCAAAGCTGTTGCTCCAAGAAATAAGGAATATAGGCTTAACCTTCAGACCATGGGGGAATTACAATCCTTTTTATGGTATAGTGAACATAAAAAGATGGGATCTCTTGATGTAGTGCTACAGCATTAAGTTTGATACTGTCTTTGGATGTACAGACTGTGAAGAGAGGTATTTTGATTCTTACATAAAGTTTGGATGAAAATGATACTGGAATATGGCATGCAGTTCTGGCACACTCATTCAGTAAAATGGATTGGAAGGGTATGAAAAGACACACAAAAATCATTCAGAAGTTAGAGAAGGTGCCTTACAAAAAGAGGCTTGAACTACATAATCTTATTTTAAAAGAAGATTGTGATGTGACTTGATTAGAGTTAGAGAAAATACTGGGTATCAAAGACTTCTATTGTCTAGCAGAAAACAACATGTTAACCAGTAATTGGTTGAGCTAATGCTCTGACTGTGAGGTTAGTAACCAAGTAGTCACCAAAATAAACTAATACGAAGAGTCGTAAATTATTTTTTTAAATCTCCTGCACTTTTTGCACTGAAATGCCTTTCTGGATGATATGTTTTTCAACTGATCATGTGTTATGGGGCTTGTTACGGATGCTCTCAATTAAATAGCCACCCACCAAAAATAATAAAAAATTATTATTAACACAGGTAACTAGCTCTCCATAAATTACAGATTCGAATGTCCGAGAGGAGAACAGAACAGTTTCTAGAGTTTAATGACAACCCAAAACGCTTTATCACTCACCTGACAAGTGAGGACTTTCAACCTCGAGGACCTGCTCAGGGCAGTGTCCCGACCCAAGGCCCCTCGAGGAGTTTCCTTGGGCAGCGTCCTGACCCAAGGGGAGAGTCCTCGACCACAGCTGCTGTTCCAGGGGATGAGCTCAAAATGACTCCCCAGGGGACTCCATTTATACCCAGGACGAATCCGACCTGTAGTCAATAGCAGCTCTCATTGGCCAAAAGCTCCAATTGCCGTGAGGCCCTGAGAACAAAGGCAGCCAGGAGCTGCTACACTTCAGCAGCCAAGAAGCTCTGCTTTCACTGGGCGGATGCACCTGCCACAGGGCTGTCTCCTGGGGATGACTGAGTTAAGTATTAATGGTCTGTTTGACATGCAGGAGGTCTGTATAGATAAATTAGTAATCTCTTTTGACCTGTGTTTTAGGGCAGGGAGGACTTTGTGTGTTATAGTTCGGTTGTTTCTTTTTCCGCCCTGGTCATCTTTCTTCAGAGTGGATGGGTCCTGAATACCAGTCTTTCAGAAGAGTGTACTAGAGCAGTACTTGGCAAGATTTGCCTGAATACTGCCATGCCTGCAGCAATTTGAAGCTCCCTTGAAATTCTTATGTTGATGTGAAAAAAATGTAGCACTTTGTGTGAAAGACTAGAAGTCCTGAAAGAACTGGGGGGAAAAAAAGTTTTAATGGTCATCACAAATACTCTTAAAAAAAAAAATAAATCTTTTGACATTATGGTAAGATACTTAAGATGGACATAGCATGTGTACAAATGTATGCACCAGTATCCAAAGTCTAATTTTTAAACATACTGAAAGCTGCTTCTAGTATTCAGGTATTATAATGTTTGTATAACTAACAGTTTTTAAGCAACACTTCCCATTAAAGTGAATGAAATCATTAGGTTCCTGGGGGGGGGGGAATCTTGTTCTGGTGTTTTCGTGAAGACTCCTCTTAAATGCTTCCTCCCCCCCACCTCTTTCAGAGAAAATGACCGTGTGGTCATGGTTAATGGAACCCCAATGGAAAATGTTCCACATTCTTTTGCAGTCCAACAGCTTCGGAAAAGTGGAAAAGTGGCCACCATTGTAAGTAAATTACAAATGTATTCACTCGACTGGTTACACAGGTACATACCACTGTAAAGATTTTGGGTTCCTTCTATGAAGTGTACTATAAACGCATAAAACAAGGCAAGCTTTTGCCCAACAGAATGTACAAAGTAAATAAAACAAAGACAAAATATAGTTTCTACAGGTGAGACAAATGGAAATTAAACAACAGTGTCACAGATGTACCGTGTTGAAAAAACAGGAATAAAATGTATGTCCTCAATCTTTAATTTTACTGAATAATGAGTGGTAGTTGGAAAAAATGAAATTTATGTAAGGCAATGATGTCCTGCATACACAGACATTGTCTGAGAATTTGCTGTCCAAACTGGCTTTCATTAGTTGAGAGAGGAATCTCCAACTCTGTTGTGGGGGCTTGTCACATTTTTTCAGAAATCATCTGCATAAAGAAAGGAACTATTTGTTATTCACTCTTGCAGAGGTAAAAGAATGTGGTTGCTCATCTGATTTTTCAAAAAAAAATTCTCCTAGTGTTCATTATTCTCCCAGTTACTAAGTATTGCTTCTGAATATCTAAATAACGTAGTCTACTGGTTGTTCTAGAAGTAAACCATTTTACCACACACGCACACCCCCCCACACCCCCATTTAAAGTGTGAAGAATATTAATTTGTTGAATGTCACATTCTGACCATTGGAGGGGGTTTCTTTGTTTTGTATTGCACTGAACAGGTAGTGAAAAGACCAAGGAAAGTGCAGGCTGCTGCATTGAAGAGAAGCCCCTCCCTTGACTATGAGGACAGAGCTTTAGATGTAATGGATGACCATGCAGAATTTGATGGCAAAAGTGCTCAAAGTGTCTATAGTGACAGAAGCTGGCATAGCGGTAATGGAGGGCACAGCCAAAGCTGGGGAAACACCCTGGATCAGAGCTATAGAGATGAACAAGACAGAGGGCGTAACCAAAGCAGAGACCGTGATCAGGAATGCACCTACAGCCGTGATCGAAGTCGTGGTAGGAGCATTGACAGGAGCTTGGATCGAGATTATAGAAGAGATCAGAGCAGGGGAAGGAGCACTGACAGGGATGGTGGGTATGAACGGAACTACAGAGGAGACTGTAGCCCACCCCGTTATAGGCATGGATCTCAACCTGATCCTAGATACAGCAGGGAAGCGAGGAGTCGAAGTCAGGACAGACTTCATTCCCGAAGTCCTTCGCCTGAAATGCACCATCAGCATGAATACCTAGGACCACAGGAGCAGAATGGACCAATCGGTGTTCTCTTAACAAAAGGCAGACATAATGAAGGTAGGTATAGTAGGGGACGAAAGGAAATGGCTTTTAATACAGCATGTAATTTTGGTGAGGGATGGGAGAAGCTGAACATTCTTTGCTTTTACAGGTTAAATGTTGAGTTTTCTAACTAATCACTTAAGCTGTTTTCATTCTTCCTGTCTGGTTTGGGGTGCTTTTTATCCCCAGCACCTTGAATTTACCTTTGAACAAAAAAATGTTCACCCACATCATTTCAGCCTTTTCTAGCCACTGTGTCCTTTGGTTTTCCATTTTCCCTGCCCTATTCTGGTTCTGGTGGAAAACATGGATCTGATCATGATTCAGATTATACTTGGCACATCTGCAAAAGGGTCAGCTATGAAGGGTGAAGAGTAGACTCTGCCTTTAATAGTGCACTTACTTCTTCCCTTGAGTATAATTAAATTAGTTCCAAAGATTGTTTGGTTTTGAATAGTTCAGAATGTAGTTAAAGAATACTGAAATAGCAACAGCTGAAACAGCCTTTCCTTGCTGTGTATTGGAGTGTATAAATGAAAGAAAAAAGCTTGATCTTTCATGTGCTGTGAAAAAAACCCTCGTGCTATGAAGCATATCTGAGATTAGGTTGTGCATTCTTTTCTGACTGGTTATTTGGGAGGGGGTGTATTGGTTTGTTTGTGATGACTTTGTGAGTTGTTTTTCTCCCAGTGTTCTCTGTTGTGGTTTGTAAGAATTTTCTGATCATGTAAGCTTTGTATGCAGGAGCTAACCTTTTTATTGACTCTGGCAAGGATTCCTTTCCCTCCTTCCTCTTCCCAACATATGTTTCCACCTGTAAAGATAATGCAGATAGTTATACAAATGGGAAGAAATTTGAGGTGTCTTTGTTAAGTTCTATATGTAGCTAGTAACTCCGTAATAATTTTTGCTATGCATATGGATACTCTGCGGACTTGCTCAAATGTGGTGATTTTTTTTAAGCAGATAAACCATGCACATTCTAGAACAACAGAAAAGGAAAGAAGCTGTGAAGACTGTTGCCTTTCTTTTCAAGTAGCAAATATACTGATCCAAGAAACATGGAAAAAAAAAAAAAAAAAAAAAAAAAAAAAAAAAAAATCCTCTGCCTGAATTGAGACACTGGCATACAGATAGGACAGGGTCAGCATGCAGCAACTGGTAAAATAAACAGCTCTTCTGTAGTGCTTTTTGAACCTTTTCCCTCTCTACAGCATGCAAAATATGACGCAGAAAGAGGATCTAGTCCAGCATGTTAATAAGCACCTCCAGAATGAAGGCATTATTTTGCTGTTTAAGATGCAGACTACTCATCTATCCGTGACTGTTTCTGGAATGCTGTTTTTTTCTTACTCTAGTGACAGCACAGAAATAGAATCACAGAATGGTTTGGTTTGGAAGGGACCTTAAGGATCATCTATTTCCAACTCCCCTGCCGTGGGCAGGGACACCTTCCACTAGATCTGGTTGCTCAAAGCCCCATCCAACCTGGCCATGAACACTGCCAGGGAGGGGGCAGCCACAACTTCTCTGGGCAACCTGTTCCAGTGCCTCAACACATTCACAGTGAAGAATTTCTTCCTTTAATCTAAATCTACCATCTTTCAGTTTAAAACCATTACCCCTTGCCCTATTACTACACTCCCTGATAAAGAGTCCCTCCCCATCTTTCCTATGCTCCCCCTTTAAGTCCTGGAAGGCTGCTATACGGTCTCCCTGGAGCCTTCTCTAGGCTGTGAACAACCCCAACTCTCTCAGCCTGTCCTCATAAGGGAGGGGCTCCAGCCCCCTGATCATCTTCATGGCCTCCTCTGGACCAGCTCCAACAGGTCCATGTCATTCTTATGTTGGGGGCCCTGCAGCTGGACAGTACTGCAGGTGGGGTCTCATGAGTGGAGTAGAGGGGGAGAATCTCCTCCCTCAACCTGCTGGCCACACTTCTCTTGATGCAGCCCAGGATACAGTTGGCTTTCTGGGCTGTGAGCTCACATTGCTGGCTCATAGTCAGTTTTTCATCCACTAATACCCCCAAGTCCTTCTCCGCAGGGCTGCTCTCAATCCACTCATCCCCCAGCCTGTATTTGTGCTTGGGATTACCTCGACCTTTGTGCAGGACCCTGCACTTGGCCTTGTTGAACTTCATGAGGTTTGCACAGGCCCACCTCTCGAGCCTGTCAAGTCCCTCTGGATGGCACATCCCTTCCCTCCAGTATGTCAACCACTCCACACAGCTTGGTGTTGGCAAACTTGCTGAGGGTGCACTCAATCCCACTGTCCATGTCACCAACAAAGATGTTAAACAACACCAGTCCCAACACCAACCCCTAAGGAACACCACTCGTCACTGCCCTTCACTTCAACATTGAGCTGTGACCGCAGCTCTTTGAGAGTGACCAACCAGCCAGTTTCTTATTCACCAGTGGTCCAGCCATCAAATCCATGTCTCTCCAATTTAGAGACCAGGATGTCATGTGGGACAGTGTCAAATACTTTGCAGAAGTCCAGAGAGATGACATCAGTTGGTCTTCCCTTATCCACCAGTGCTGTAACCCTGTCATAGAAGGCCACCAAATTTGTCAGGCACAGTTTGCCCTTAGTGAAGCCATGCTGGCTGTCACCAATCACCTCCTTACTTTCCACGTGCCCTAGCATAGTTTCCAGGAGGATCCGCTCCATCATCTTTCCAGGCACAGAGGTAAGACTGACTGGCCTGTAGTTCCCCAGGTCTTCTTTTTTCCCCTTTTTAAAAATGGAAATTACGTTTCCCCTTTTCCAGTCAGCATGAACTTCACCAGACTGCTACGACTTCTCAAATACGATGGATAGTGGCTTAGCCACTCCATCTGCCAGTTCCCTCAGGACCCGTGGATGCATCTCATCAGGTCCCATAGACTTTTGTACCTTCAGGTCTCAAATCTGATTTTCTCCTACAGTGAGTGGTTCTTCATTCTCCTAGTCTCCACCTTTGCCTTCTGCAACTCGGGTGGTATGGCTGGAGCACTTGCTGGTGAAGACTGCGGCAAAAACGTTGTTGAGTACCTCTACCTTCTCCATATCCCAGGTAATCACGTCTCCTGTTTCCTTACAGAGAGTGCCCTCATTTTCCCTACTCTTCCTTTTTTCACTGACAGACCTATAGA